CTCGGACTTTTTCTCAGGTAAATCTTGCAATAACTTAGACTTCTTTTTTAGCTTATTACGCATATGTAGTAAATTATTTATTTGGAAGCGAAAATGATAAGCAAGATTCAAAGGACAATACTTTTTTGATCCTAATTTTGGTACAAAAGTCGAATGCAAAGGGTTAATAAAGTGACATAATTTCACTGAAATTCTATTAATGCATTCTAGTGAAATTCGTCTTAATTTATCATCTGCAGATAAACAGAAGTAGATAGTGAAGTTTATCTTAATTTACCATCTGCAGATAAACAGAAGTAGATAGTGACATTCATCTTAATTTACCATCTGCAGATAAACAGAAGTAGAAAAATGGTACTTCTGAACAAATTTACCACACTTTCGATCTGATTTGATTTGGTCCAATTAAATTTCGTCCACGTTTAGTTTTTATTTCACATCGAAGCTCGATCGCGAGGAAAACGAATCGAGAAAACTTCGCAAACTTCGTTGCGTGACAGAGGCAACGAAGATTTATCTTTCAAATTATACTCGAGGTTCGAATACAAGCAACTTAATTGAAACAAATAGACCATATTAAAGACATCGAAGTTACTTGAAATTTCTCATTTGTAGACGTTATTTGATACGCGGTTTAAACTTATGTTACAAGATAATCTTGCACTTGTAACGTAAATGTGTATACGTGAAAAATTTAGTAATTTCTCTTTGACCGTTCTCTGTATCCCAGTGAAACACTATTCTAATCAATTCGACGGGCTGCGTAACCTAATAACCCAGTATTCTCGTATGCATGCGCACACATAAATGGCAATACGACACTAAATCTCCGGGTGTGGACAAATATTTCACAGGCGTTTCTTTCTGATTTTTTTTTCACGCGAAGATAAATAAAGCACGTGAAAATAGAAGTAGAAAAAGTAACTTTTTCGTACTGTATATAATGCATGAATTATATCATTTGCAGTGCAGAAAATTAGTTTCTCCGTCCACTGGAAGCACGAGCTAATTCACAAGAGACCACGAACGTCGAATTTTTTAACATTTTTACATTAAATAATATCAAAGCAAACTCGAGTGATATTTTGGTAGAATATGAAAAATTTTAACGTAGATATACTTTAGCTAAAAATTGCTTCCTCTGATATTTGTTTCATTCGCCCAGTATTTCGTCCTTCCTTTGATTACTGCAAATTACCATTTAGTGTGAATTTCGTCAAACTACAAAATTACTATTCAAAAACTGTCTCTATCGATAAAAAAAACTATTTTATATTACAAAAAAAAAAAAAATTTAATCCTTCACCAAGCCCAACACCATCACCAACTAAAGCCTAACTCTTTCAAAAGAAGGAAAAGTACAATTTCCAATTATCAAAACATTCCTACTGCACATCTGAATTAAAAATCGCAAATTTCTGCTCGAAATGAAAAAAATTACTTAATCATTCACCAAGTCCAATACAAGCTAAAACCCAGCTCTTCCAAAAAATGCAAAAGAACAATTTTCAATTACCGTAATATTGCCCATACAAATTAAAAATCGCAAATTTCTACTCGAAAAGTACCATTTTTCGCAACTCGAAATCGCGAGAGCCGGATTTCCAGGAACGCGATGTTTCTGAACGCAATTCCAAGGACGAGCCTCTCGCGTTGCTTCATTCGGAGTCAGCGAGAGTGGCGTAATTAAACGGACAACTACGAGCGTACGTAGCAATTCCAGGAGATCCTGCACGCACTGCCAAAAAAGTCCCCCGTGGAGAGACGGGCTTGCGCGCAGGTAGAAGCTCGTTTTACCGTGCAATAAATAACCTTGCGTACAGGAAACGAGCGCCATATTCGTCACAGCGTCGCGGCTCTCGGTATAGCTGTCGTTTGCACGGTTGCCCGTGAACATGCGCGTATACAAGGATTCCTTTTTGCGCGAACCAGCTAAAAGGTAGCTTTTCGTTGGACGATACAGATCTTGAGAATTAGGTAAATGAATATTCCGAGTGTTTGACTGCTGACCAATTAATGCTACTTAATTCTATGACTACTCTAGGTTAAAATGAATTATTGGCAAATGTGCAAAAATGTACAAGTTTTCTCTTCTCGTCGTGTTTCTTCTTTTTATTATCGAATAATTGTTCGTTACATTTTTTTGTAGAAAATTGAAGGTTTTTTTTTATAAATTGAAAAAGTATGATAATTATGAGAGGAAATAACGCCCAAAATAAGTTCAAAATTAATACTTTTCTAATTTAACATTAAGATGAAGTTTTTTTGATTTATTGAGAAAAATGTAATTAATACTGATCATGTTTTTATATAAATTTTCTCTTCCCATTGTGTGTGTTTTTATTATCAAATAAGTATTCGTTAAGTATTAAAATATCTTTTAGTGGAAAATTGAAGGATTTTCTTTTTATAAATTGGAAAAGTATTTCTTTATGGCTTGGTGCAATAAATATGATAATAATGAGAAGGCGTAATGCCCCAAATAAGTTACAAATTAATACTTTCCTAACTTAATACTAAAAAAAAAAAGAAAGAAAAATACAACAAATTCTGAAATTACCCAAACACGCTATTTTTCTGTAATTTAATTATCATACTTTCCAAACATTCTATTTCAAATCAATAATTCGTTCATTTATAAGCACCAATCTAACCTATAACCCAATAATTTATAAACTAACCTAACCTAGCCAATCTACAGATAACAATCGAAAGAGACGACACAGCGCTAAAAATATCCTATCGATCTCAAATAATAAGGAATCACGACCCCTCGTCAAATGTGATAATTACACATTCGTCAAACGCATCAAATTTCCGGATAACACACATACCTGAAACGATGAAAATAACAGCTTGAATGAACAGCCGTGCGTGGGTCATCTACGAGTCCACGCATCGAAGGATTCTTCTTCGCTCGCTTAATTGAACGTTTGAGGAGATCGATTAAATCGACCGAACAGCGGAAAAAATTTCAACGAGAAAGTCGCTTGTAAGTATCGGCACGCAACGATTTCCACATGTAGATTCAGAGTTCATTAATTGCGAGTAATTGGAATATGATACACGGATGCAGCGTGCTTGTAACGAGCTCTGGACACGAGGCGTTGCGCAGAGATATCTTTTCATTGATCGAACACGATGCTCTCTTATAAGTCAAATCGCGTTATTCCTAAACGTCAACAGCCTCCTCATCCAAGGAGGAAGAGATCGTTCTCGTACACTTGCGGAAAATTTCGGTAATTAACCGTACTAATTAACGAGTGTGTCCATTTCGACACGCCTGGCGCCCCGAATTTCGTGAAACGGTTCTTCTATACGGTGATCTAATTTTCTCCATCTATCAGGCCTTATCAATTTCTCTCTCTTTCTCTCTCGTGGAACAGGAATAGCTGCGAGAAAGCGTAGCAGGTATTTTTTGTTGTTTTTACCAAGTCGATTTGAATGTTGCTTTATAGGTGTACCTGTTATTTCGATTGAAATAAAAGAAATAGTCGAGCACGTTGAAGCAGTAGTTCTTCAGAGATAGATAGGATAATGGTATAGCGTGATCAATTTGCACGTTCACCTTACTTCAATTATAGAAGAAACGAGGAAGTCGATTAACTTGGAAAGATAAACCTAATATGAAATTGAGGGGTTTTTTTTTTTTAAGAGATTAGCTAAGGAGAGTTCAAGATCATTTTTGGCTTTTTCGTTTGGTTAGGAATGAGGTTTTTGTTGGGTCAAGTTTATTATGCGACAAAGACGAATTCGATGCGGTAAATTTGGCGAGTTTTTGCGAAATTTTGTGGTGGATATTGGGGATCAATTTGTCACAGGTTTCGGTTTGAAATAGGGGTTCTCATGATTTATTTTTTGAGGTAATTTAAAGGGGGATGTTAGTGTGGTAAAAAGGCAATTGAGAACCACTATTTCAATTTGTGGTCATTACTAAGGGTACCATCTCATAGTATTTTAAAGAAAAATGTACACTAGCAAAGTTACAATATTCATTCTGAAGTTATAGGCATTTTGAAATTTCTACCTACAATTAACATAGATAACAATTTTAATATTCATATTTTTCCCAAATCATATCATGTAGCAATTACAATTTATCTACTTTAGTTAAACTATTCTGTCGTTACATATATTATATTGACAGAAATTTTAAATTACTGCAGTGGTAAATAATGATTTATGTATGGAAATTGTTCTTCTAGTAACATACATTTCTCAATGCATAAAAAAAAATTTGAAATAATTAGAAGAAAGTACAATGAAGCAAAAGGTGGATAAATATTCAAGCTTTTTAATAATTGTGCGCATAATGTTCTTGCACAGTTAAGGAATACATAAAGGCAGAAGTGTGCAATGAATTATACACCTTCTCTATTTCTTGGAAAATGTGATTCTTATACGTAATAAATACAATGTAATAAAAGAATTAAATTATCTAAAAGTTATTTCTTAAGAATGGAACTTTTAAAGACTTGGCTGATGTAACAAATTCTTCATATATAAAATTCACTGTTTATATATAAACAGATACCACATGAAGGTTATATACGTAAACACATAGTATTCGTACTACTTCCCAGCAGAACTTATAAAACAGTACCGCTGTATTCTACACGTGGTATATATGAAAATGTACAAAAGAATGATGCAACATCAATGGACAGTCCAAAAATGACTTCTTCAATCAATGAAGCATAAGCTAATATGATAAATGTAAATTCTATCATCGTTGTACAAACCAATAGCTTGTCGCAAGAACGTTACTATTTGAGCAACTGCAACTACGTCAGACACATTGCTTACATGAGATCGATACATTTCTATCTTTGTAATCTCTCATTATAACTGGAAACTGTTACTACTGATTTTATTTTGAAGTCAGTAATCTCACGTCAATTATACTTATCAAACTTCTAATATCTACCAAATGATAATGTTCATGCATTGTACAGTGATGTGGCAATGTTGAAGAGCAAAAGTGTTAAATGTGCACAAACCTGACGGGAACCGTAGGTGTCAGAAAAGTGTTCGAATTCGGCTCCGCCGTGCTGTTGCTCGCCGGCAGGGCCCTTACGTCGATCGTCACCCGCGTTACGATCCATTGCGTCGAAAACATGGACGACTGTATCGGGCACGCCGTCAGACGTCCAATCCTCCGTCCTCGGGGCAGGTTCCTCGGTTTTGCCCTTGACGAAGAGACGCGAGATCGCACTCCACATTCAACGAAATCACAGCATCCGCGACAGCTGCAGCGGCGATCCGTTCGAACTGGTCCTTGTTCTCGTCATAGCCGGTGCGACAATGCGTTGAAAAAATCTCGCGTTCTTCTACACGCGCGCACGTTTTTCCCCTCTGTCACGGGATCATCGAATACACATAAAAGACAGCCTCAAACAATACAAGTATCTCGTTCGAGAACGCGATGAAAGGTTAGGTGGCACCAAGAGACCGCTGAATTTTGTTCCAAGTAAGGTTAGAGTGTGCGCTTGAACTAACCGTGATATATCACTAACGAATGGATTATTTACGTTGGAACGACACCGCCTTCAACATCAAGTCCATTTGATACACTCACGCACATACGAATCGTCGACTCAGAAGATTAACATTAAGAACGGTAACGAGAAAATTTGAATGATTACAAGATACTACACGGCTCGTGCTGGAACATACACGGGGCTGCGAAAGACACGATGTTTTGAAAGTGCGAGCAACGTTCCCTCGACAAGCAGCGCCGTACGCAGCGTTGTTAAAAGTCGCAGACGAAATAATGCCGGCTCGCGATAAAACGCAGCAAAGGACGAGCAACTAAGGACACTCGTTTACCGTGTCCACCGAGGACTCTGCTATTTTTGTCGGCAACTCTTCTCGCGCGTTCCGCACTCCACGGGCAATGTGCGAGCTTCTCTATCGATTTTGCGCGAAACAGCAGAAAAACCAGGTATAGACATCAAATTCAAAGTTACAGAAGTATATTTCCCTAGCGAATTCGGGTACGCGTTCCAATTCAGCTTCTTCGAGAAGTGTCTTCGATGGTCGATTCTCTCGATGGGTGTTGCAAAAATATTATTGGCACCTGTAAAAGGGGCGTACCTCATGCGACTCTTTCGTTCAGATAGATAACGAATACTCTCGTTTCTCAACTTTAAATTCACGATGTATTCCTTGTTCGTTTCTTAAAATTCCTTCGTATAATTAACCTATGGTCCGAATATTCAGACTCTCGTTGACAGCGGCACGAAAGCACACGAGAAGACTACTGTTGTACACTGCACAGACTTCACACTAGCACCACCAATGATTCGTTGGTTTCACACAATCGTTACTACCTACTTCCCGCACGAAACGCCCGAAAATCACGATTGCATATATCGATGCACGTGAATTCTCAAGTAAGAAACATTGTCAGCACGAAAAATCGTCATTTCGCACGAACACCAAGTCCACGGCACGTTCGCCGTCCATCGTGAAAACGATCATCGATTTGAAGCGAGATTATCGTGCAGCGATACATCGAAACACGTTCGAGATCAGTCGCCATATTTCACCCGGTCGAGTCAATTCACAACAACGAGATTTTGCAACGACTACGAATTTAACGCTACGTTTTATATTTTAAAAGTGCGGGAAATACTTAATTTTATACAAAATCAGTGACAAAAGTGTAGTTTATCAAAATTTGCAATAGTTTCGTGCGGTGTATCGATTGGAAACAAGTTTATTTTAAATACATTGTAACTGAATACAATCGAATCCTATTGGTTGAAGTGTAGTTTGAAAAATCACGTGTCTGTCTGAATCATCGAATAGGAAGTATTCTAGTGACAACTGGTTTCCTTTGGATTTACTTCAAAATCTTTTCAACTGTTTTATTATTCGCTTCTCATGGTGCGACAATGAAAACCTGTTTGCGTCGTAACTCAGGTAAGTCGAAGATATACGTACTTTTACGACGTCGTTACAAAATAATATAAGTCACATAATTACTAATTACCTATTAGCCTATATACAAAATAATTTAAACATATTAGATTATTTACACGAAATTTAGGTTCTACCAGATTTTTTAATTAATAAACTCTATAAACCTAACTTTTATTTAAAATGAAACTTTCGTATACGGCAAATTACCATGTCGTGTGCATACGCTGCCATCTTCCGGTAGTTACAGTAACTGCGTAACACACAGATTTAAATTCAAATATCGCATTTGCTCTCAAACACGATGCAATGACACATTAAAATCGTATTTAATATTAATAAAACACACTAATTAATTGTTATACATAAAAATTACATTCATTTGCAAGCATTACATATTTCAAAAGAAGTTTTTTTTGTCTTATTTCAATTCTTTCGTTTCCTCGAACGACACTTAACCTAACTTTAAAAAATGTCATTTCCTAATTCGTCTGCATTTTCGCAGAAATATCTCAATTTCAAGTTTACTTACCTCGTACATACACAACCTATTCATTTCTTTTTCCAAAGAATCTTTATATCGTCACAAATTAAAGAAATCCTCTTTAAAGGATGGTAATAAAGAAAACCTACGCAAGTACATTGTACACATTATATAGTATGTATTATAGAACGTATTTACAACGATATATTTACACTGTCATTACAAAAATTGTGTTAATGATACCACAGACTATATATTCGTCGATTGATTTGACCGCATACAAACGCATTCACGCACCCATGAACAGAAGTAAACATTTTTCTCTTTTCTACTTCCTTTCCATTCACACGGTTAAACGCCTTTGAAACAACGGCTGACACATCTCGCGAGCAGCAGCAGCAGGCACGTTCGGGTTTCGCGTCGAAATAATTTAAACTTTTAATCTCTCGCGTCGGTTAAGTATGACTATATGAACGTCTCGTACGCTCCCTACGAGCTTGTAGAAAATAGAAATTCTATACAAAAAAAAAAAGAAAAAAAAAAGAAAGAGAAAACAGAAGAAAAACAAGAAAAGAAATAAAAACACTGTACGACTATCGTTCGATTAATTCGATTAATTCGATTAATAATATCTCGTTCTATTGCACGTGACGTTTTACTCCGATTGAAGATATTTACGGCGCTTATAACGATATTGTCCGGCAAATTCGATTCCCTTTCGCATGGTAATCACGACACTACAAAAATCGTACTAAAGAACTTTCTACTTTCTATATACACATATATAAATACATTTACACTCTACATACATGTACATAGAAAGTTCAGTTATACGTGTGTTTATGCACAGGATGGTTCAGTAACGGTCGCCATCTTAATATAAAATATGACAGTTGGGGGACGAAATTTTAGTTAACGGCGCATACTACAGAAAGGACCATCGTACAACTATTTTCTTTTTTTACCAAAATACTTCTTACAGATAAAAATGTTATAAAAATTATCGACTCGATCAGACGATCTCTTGTACCTGATTTTTCCTATTTCCTTATCGAGTAATCTCTACACTTTGACAACCACAACGTAGACTAGTATACGTAGATTTATAACCTGTAAATTTCTGCACTTGATTTTAAATCCTTTTTCTTTTTTTATACACTTTATTTATACATGCGCTTAAACTTTTTAAATATTTAACAAAATAGATTCTTCATTCTTGGATTCGATACTGGATTCAAATATACTTACACACTTAAAATTAGTCTCTCGGTATGTTAAAATGATCTTTATGTACAAATAATGGTCTCTTTTATATTATGTAATTCTTCCGTAACTTGGTGATTTTAGATATATTAAGGTGACAACGGTTACCCGATTACTTCGAAGAATGTTTCGTAGGATAAGCGGTATCTCTTAGACGAGAGATTTCTCGACGAAAATTAAATCGATTCTCGATCGATCGATCGTCACTGGTGAAAGAATCGATTCATTTTTACTTGAAAAATCTCTCACCTGTCGTACTCGTGTTATCTTACGAAACAGCCTGTAGATGTACGAATCTGCTACAAGTACTACATACAATGCTCTTATTCGCTCACTCAGGCACAATTACTTACAAACATAAATAAGTCTAATTACAAGAAAAAATATCGTTTTCCTCTTAATGCCGGCTTAATATAGATACCTTTGACGGTCGGAAAACGCGAACGCGTAGCGTGTTTCCCAAGAGTAACAACAGAACAATGTAGAAGTTGTTTGCAAAGAACGACGTTCCAATTTTTTTCCCTTTTTCATTAACTCAGACTATAGTATCGAAAGTTCGAGTCATTAAATTAATATCACTAAACAATATATTAACTGACCGAACGTTTGAACGTCAGATGAGATGTTTGAGTTTGATTAAAAAAAAAACAAAAAAAAACGAAGGAAGAGGAGGAAAAGATGGAGATAGAAAGAAAGAAAGAAAGAAAAGAAACGATCCGGAGTATCGATAAAAAAAATAACCCCGACTGTTACGTATGTATATTACAATGTATCCACTAGAACCGGATAAGATCGTGTGCCGGATTGCACGGATTTGTCGATCAGATTGTCCCCCATCACACCTCTGCCAGCCACAAAATGATTACGATCGTTAGTACGGAAGCACTTGTTTCGAGAAATTACACTATCTACTAGTCGAAATTTGGCACCAGACGACCGATGTTTTTCTGCGTCGCTTAAAATCCGCCATCGATCAGTGTTTGTCGTTCACGTCGAACACAGGGCGAACAGACACTGAGGTTTTAGTTCGATTCAACTGTGAACCGAGCCGACTCGCTTCACCATTATTTCATTGATCATCTCGAGCGATTCGATACTCTACGAACTTGAAAACGTCACTTCGTTAATATCTACAGTGGAAAAGACTGTAAAACCAGCGATGAAAATAAAGGAAGATTAAATATACCAATTTTCTCTAAAAAAAAGAAGAAAAGAAGAAGAAACCAGAAATACATGGATAAAATTGTTTAAGGCGAAGAATACTTGTCGGAGAATTGAAAAGAAATCGCTCGAGAACACGAATGGACGTGTGAGAAAGAAATGATTTCGTCATCGAAACTGTTCGTACCTACTCCGTTTCAAGGAGTAGCTTGAAACTGCATCCAGAATTCGATCCCTCCGATCGATCGAATCGTAGAATTATCAGGTCGATCCTCGGGACTCAGTTAGATCCCAGGTGAAACGGTGTCGTTTACGTTCGACTCGGATTCGAGTGCGCTGTCCGCACGTATCTTGCTAATCCTGGACGATCAATGGCAACCGCAGCTCTTGACGACCATGTTTTTGTACTTCTTCAGTATAACGTTGCTTTCGTCGAGGAAATACAGCACGGAGATCGGTGAGAGCTTGGTCGGCGCGCAGCAAGGCTTTGGTACCTTGCCGGGGCTGACCAGGTGCACCAACGTTTGGACGATCGCGTGATTGGTCGCGTTCATATGAGCATTCAAAGGGAAATTGCATTCGCCGCTGCAATAATATGCGTCGTACCCGTCCGGTGCTATGATCCAGTCCTGGAAAATTAAATATTCATCGATCACCGATAATGCCAGCCACCGGCAGCTTAGCGAGAAGCACTGACGATCTAGCCGCACACGATTGCATCAAATGCGTGGATTATTACGCTGGCTGGCGTAACTTACCTGCCACTTCAGGTCCCTGAAGCTGACGTACAACGTTTGGATTTTGCAGGTCCTCGAGTTGTACTGCACGCTGGGATCTAGAAAATGCCAATAAACACGTTTTCAGCGTACCTTCTTCTCTCGATGCTCTTTATGAGCGAATACTCGGTTTTACGAGTGAACTATTGCTCGTTTTTGATCGTGATGTGATCTTAACCCTTTCTACACTCGAGATTCTTTGGAATTTTCATTTGGATCTATTTGTTCTTTATGAGCGAATGATCAATCGTTTTTAATCGCGAAGCGATCTTAACCCTTTCTGCGCTGGAAATTCTTTGGAATTTTCATTTGGATCTATTTGTTCTTTATAAGCGAATGATCGATTGTTTTTTATCGTGATTTCACCCTTTCTACACCGGAGATTCCCTTGAATTTTCATTTTGATCTATTTAGATTTTGCACAAACGTGAATTTAAGAGGGATAAAGCCAGCGCATGTCTTCATAGTTTTTGCATTGCATTAGCAATGTTCGTCTGTTTTTGCTGATGGTGTTGTTGGAAATTTTTGCAGCATGTTCACCAACAGTGGACAAGACCATTAACCGAGCTACATGCTCGGGATCTTAAAAGTTTATGTTAAACGTTCAAGTGTAATCAGTTACGCCAGCTCAATTTGTAAGGATAATGATACGAACAAAAACCGTTTTCATTCACGATCAAGATCGGATGCTTAGATACTCGGATCAGTCGTTCTTTGATATTTTCTTGCAGTCAAATGAAATTATCGTCAGAGTAGATACTTTCTCGATATCCTTGAAATTTAGCTGCAAATTTTTTAACTGATCTTTTTATCGATAAATCGATTCGAATGTTAATCTAGGGTAGAAAGGGTTAAGGGAGATCTATTAGGTTTATTAGTATATCGGACGTTACCTTCCGGACTTACCGGTGTACGGATTATTCCGATAATCCAAACTCGAGGACTCGCTCTTCTTTTTTCTCCTGGCATCTCGTTTCTGTCGCACTTTCGATTCCCTAATACCAGAACTCTTGAAGTAGCCCACCATGAACGGTTGCCTGTCGGGATCCCCTCTGAATCCGACGATCCCAATATCTTCTGGTCTCATCTCGTGCACTGGAAACATAACAGTTATCCTTTCTATAATTCAGTATACTCTCTTCCATCTATTCGAACACTTATATGTACCTAATTCTCTTAAAAGTATTTAACTGTTCGATTTTTTACTATCGCCGCTAGAATAGCCTGAGAATCGAAATTTTGAGAAATTGATAGTTACGTAGAAATATAGAATAAAAGTATGAAATTCTTGAATTTTTTATTATCGACGTTAGAATACCCTAAGAATCGAAATTTTGAGAAATTCATAATTAAACAGAAATATAGCATAAAGATATGAAATTCTTGAATTTTTTATTATCGACGTTAGAATACCCGAAGAATCGAAATTTTGAGAAATTCATAATTAAACAGAAATATAGCATAAAGATATGAAATTCTTGAATCTTTTATTATTGACGTTAGAATACCTTAAGAAACCAAAATTTGAGAAATTCACAGTTCCGTGGAAACGTAACATAGCACTGAAATTCATAGTTCCGTGGAAATATAAAATAGCAGTAAAATTCATAGTAAAGATATAACATTCTGAAAGCAAAAAGATTCGGATATTCCACGCGTTGCAAATTCGCATAAAAACACAAATTCGCGTTTACCGTGCGTTACGCGAATCAAAATCGAACGCATCGAAATTCCTAACATTCTAAATCCAAAAACGAATTAAAACTGATTCCATTGAAATTCGTAATATTCTAAAACCAAAAAATTCGAATATTCCACGCGTTGCAAATTCGCATAGAAACACAAATTCGCCTCTATTACGTGCTACGCGAATCAAAATCGAACGCATCGAAATTCCTAACATTCTGAAACCAAAACCGAACGCATCGAAATTCTTATCATTCCATAACCATAAAAATTCGAACATGCGCATTGCAAATTCACAGAAAAACACGAATTCGCGTTTACCGCAACATACGTCACGCGAATCAAAAACAGCGTCTGCCGGGGTTAGACAGAACCGGCGAAGTAACGCTTTTAATCCAGCGATTCCCAATTAGCCGTTTGATTCCATAAGTGGAATGCACGAGTGGTTGCACGATTACAATTTACGCGCATGTTTGTTAGAATGGGCTGCCAGTTGGAATTATTAATAGGCAACCTTCAGGAATATTAACTATTTAAGAATCTCAGCTCGGCCGTGTGTCAGCCGGCTCTCTCGATACATATCGAGAGCCGTTCACTTCGCCGATATAGGCGACAGTTCATGGTTTCCCAACACATTGGCCCTGCAATTAAGTCACCGCTACACCGTTACGCCTTTAATTAATTGATCGTTCCGTCAGCCGATCGATCGATTATTCTTAATTATCGTCCTGCACCGGTGTATATGTATACGTGAACGAAGGCGGGTGTTGCAGAAATTTCATGTGTACCCCCGTTTGTAGAGTAACGGCGCGAAACCCGCCGAGATCGGACACGTTTCGTAATATAATCGGAACTTGAAGAAGTTATGACACTTGTTTATCATAATTATCGGGAGCCGTTTTAATTATTCATGCGGTAATAATTATACATCTATAGTGTTACAAAAATAGAGTCGATTTACATGCATTAGCATAAAGTGTCGCAAGCTGGTTCTGCACATTGGTCATATTAATGTCAAGAATATTATTTTCCACGGCAGCACGGTAGTGACAGTAAGATTGGAACGTACGGGAACCGTCGTGAAAGTAAGGGATCTCGTATTTTCAGCGGGAAAATTCGTAGCTTCGGCGGAAAATAGGAGGCGTTGCCGATAGTGTGAATTTAGAGCGAGAAGGGAGGATAGATTTCTCTTGTCGAATGCGGAGAGGCGCACTGGTGTTGAAGGAGATTCAGGAAATCTGATTTTTCGATGTTCGAAGCAGCCGCGAATATTCGGTGTTACAATGTACCTACAGTATACTTTCGAATACGTAATACCGTATCGTTAAATCATTTTCCACGAGTTACGTAGATAATGTTCTGGTAATATTCGTAGTTGACAAATGATACACAACGCGATTAAATTCGTATTTTCCAATCGAGTTTCGATAAGTTCGGGAAGAAAATCTAATTGATATACGTAACGCGATAGAATTCTTATTTTCCAATCGAGCTTCGGTAAGTTAGAAAATAAATAAATTAACGCGATAGAGTACGTGTTTTCGAATCAAGCGTCGATAAATCCTCGTTTCGAAAATACAATTTTTCACTCGTCGGATAAATAGGCGTACCATTGGAAAAAAAATAGATTTGCATACGTCACAACAACCGAGATCGAAAGAATCGATTTTGATTAATATCAGATCGAGCCGAAGTATCTTTGTATTAGAAGGGTTTACGTAGGAGTAACATCTGCTGATTTCAATGGAAACAGTGACCAAACAACAATGATTAATAACCAGATAGGCAACAGTTCGCAGTCGATAAACATCAGCGGTTTTTTACAAAGCAATCCGTCAGACTTTTATTAGACAAGTTCTGTTACAAACGAGACGTCATTCCAACCAATGATTTATTTGATAAGTTCTGCCAGAAGCAGAACAGCGGGTGATCGTTGCCTATAAATAGTACTCTGTGTACTCAATACCTGCGGTACGTATTTTTCATCTTGCACTACATATCTAAATTAAGACCATTCCTGTGACAGATTGCTCGAGAAAAATCTCCGTCTCGCATTATCATAGTTCACGCGTAACGTACAAATTGCCTGCTTGCCTCTTCGTTGAATAGAAATGGTCGAATCGTGGAAAGTATCGGTACTTGATTCGACTGACATTAGTGCGAGAAAGCCATTTCAATGGTAAGGTGGAAAAACAAAGATGCAAATGCGGTGGTTTGTTCTTGGAAAAGGATTTCGATTCAAATCAGTTCCAAATAAGATCGATCATTTACTATTTCAATACAGAAATAGAAAAATGTTAGCGATTAGAGATGAAGTGTGGAATCGAAAATTTTTTATAAATTTGCTAAGATCACTAAACAATTTTGTATTTTGAATTCAGGCCAAATAATGAAAGCGAAGCAACAAGGATAAATAGTTAATTAAGTCCAAGATTCTTGAGTAGAAACAAAACAGATGTTCGTCGCGTTAATATCGGACTGCTTTATTTACAATTGCAACCACCTGTTGCTTCGCGGACTGCGTCAAACCACGTTACGAAATATAAAAATGATCAAGATCTCAACGATTCCACGTTTTTGCGTTTAAACACGAGAAACACTGCCAATGATAATTATTGCACACCAGGATTCGTAGATTTTTCACCTAAAAATCGATCGATTAAGAGTACAAAAGTGGATCGAAAGACGATCCTTAAGCCTTCAACGAAATCGTATTTTCGCAACGACACGTAACTCTACTCTCAATTAAATCCCAGCACAGTTTCCAATGAAACATTCGATCGAGCTACAGGTATCCCTACCTGAAACCACCTTCTACATCGAGAATCCTCACGCGTGCCATACAAATCGGCCGTTTCTCGTAAGGATGCGCGAAAACAACGAGGCAAGAAGAAGAAGAAGAAGAAGTGGACGCGTAGAATCGCGTAGTCGCGACGGAAGAGGAGTTTTTCAAGTGAAATCGATTCGAATGCAGCGCGCGATTTTCGCGCAATATCGAAATTCGAACGAAAGGACACGCGTGTACGTGCGAGCAATCCAAACGGTCTCATTGTGTATCCCCGTGGCTGGCGACTCGTCTCCGCGGGCAGCATTGCCGCGTATGCAAATGATCCTTCTTACGAGCACGCTCGTACCGAGTTCGAGAAAGCTAGTAAATTGGCTCACAGGAATGCGCATTTGCCGTGATTGCAGCGGACACCTGCTGCTGTACTTTGCGCGCCGTTACAGAATCAACTGGCTGCTACCAGCTTGTCCACCAACTTCCACCGTTCGCCCCGAATGCACGTGGCGAATTCAATTGAATCGATGAGTTGAGGAATAACGTGAGTCGATTTTTTTTCATTTTTCTTTGGGGGGAAAATTGAGGTATGCGGTGAACCATGTTGCGCAGGTTTGAATATGTCAAATGAGGGCAGACGTAGTGCAAATTACATGTACGAATGAAATTGGGTTTGCACAAAAATCTGGAAATCGCATATGTTTTTTCGACTCCTCTGAGAAAAAAGTGACGCTTTTTTAATAAATAAGACCTTGTTCAACCAAATTTTTCCCTTTCAATATTTTAGACAATGTATATGCAAATTTCATATTTGTGCGATTTCGTTTTCCAGGTGTTACAATTTTTTCGGCGAGTAGTGGATAAGCATGTGGTAAAATAGAGATAGTGATTTAATACACAAAGTGGGAGGAGAAATAACACAAGTGTTGTACAGTTACTCCAAAAATATTGAAAAAAAAAAAAATTCAGATTTTCCTTGTTTCTAAAAAATTAGATAACACTGACTTACGCTCAATTTAATTTAATTACACCGCGCTTTCTCGTGGCGCTATTTTAATTAACACGATCTGGAAATTTTTTCGGGATAACGTCCTTCTGTTGTCTCTTTTTTTATGATTCATTTGATGCGTAGGCACTGAATGGCAATGATACACGGATTACGTGGACTCTTCTTGGAATTACAAGAATACGAATTTCGTGTAACTTCTGAACCGATAGAGTTCGGTCTACGCGTTTAACGCCTATGGTTTTGATATTGCGTTCGCGACGGATATATCATAATTTGCTGAAACTAGTTTTTACCATTGGTAATGAAACAGGAATATTTGTTGGAAAAAAAAAATAATCAAAACTGCTGGAGATAATTGGAAATACATTATTTATCATCGATTTTGTTAGAAGGAGGAAAATATTCGTGTTACTAATAGAATAACGTAACAGATAATTATCTTTTAATTAATATCAAGAAACACGAAGTTTCAGCATTAAATTATTCCCTATCGGAACGAGATATTATGTATAACTTATCGAGTTCTGTTATCTATCAACCTGTCGCAAACATCGTAAATAATTGAATCTAAAACAGAAACAAATATTTTTTTTAAAAATTCTACTTTTTATCAACGAATAC